CCTGCCCCCCCCCCCGCCTCTCGCCGGGACAACCTGTGGGGCAACTTGCTCTTCGTGCCTTTGCCCGGGGCCCCCCGCCGCAGGGACACGCGTTTACCGGCTCTTTGGGTCTTTCGGTTTCTGTTCTGCTGCTGGAATTGTTTTTTTGCTATCACGGAGCAAAATCCGACTTCCCCTTTGGGAGTCCGCTGAGGGGGAGCTGCAAATCTAACTTGTTTAATTTTACTGCTAAAGTGTTTATTGCAGCTTTATACATTTCTGAGCAGCCTTTTAAAGCTGAACTAAAACCGTCATGTGGCACACGCCATTTTTCTGCTAAAACTGAACTAAAATAACCGGTGCTGTGAGCTGGGGGACGCATCAGCCCAGGCTGCAGCCGCGGAGCTGAGCCGGGCCCGGCTGGGCCGGCCCCCTGCCCGCGGACCCGAGTGATGTGTCACTTCATAACACCCTCTGGATGAAGCCTGGTAGAAATCTGTTATTAGAGAGTATTTGTGGGGAATCTGTGACTTGTAATTAGATGTAATTGTTCACAGTGAGATGGAGTAACCTACTTTTTCACAATACTGAACCATTTTAACGACTGACACCTCAACTCATTCCCAGGTTTGAGGATTTCACATTTTTAGAAGCACTTTAAATCCGTGGTGACTCAGTCTGGGGGTGTATGCAGATGTCAGCCTCGCTAGCAACAGGCAAGGAGCTTGCTCTGCTTCTACATCTCAAATGTTTATGAACATTTGCTGAGGATGGAATGGGAAATGGCTCATGGAGGCACAAGAAACAACTCTGTTGGTAAACAAGGAACTTTCAGAGGAGGGAAGGTTCCCTCTGGGGGGGGTTGAATTTTAGAGTCTCCGCTGGGGTCTCGGGCAGAGGCAGACACAGATGCCCGCAGCTGGCACAGGGAGAGCGCAGGGAAACACAGGGTGCAGGGCCCATGGAAAGGAAAGGTGCTTGTCCCTCACAAAAATCTCACTAAGCAGCACCCAAGGGGTTTGGCCACAGGCGAATTCATTAGTTCATGATAGCTGGTGATGCTGACTGGACATTTGGGAGACTTCTCACCTTTGAAGCCTTTGCTCCTATTTAATTTTCTACTATTGTCCCTGTTCTGAAGTGCCACTCACTCCCTTACCTCCTCCAAGGCCGGGCAAAATGCTTCAGGAAGCCTCCCACAGCATCTGCAGAAGGACGAGAATTTCACTAGCACCCGGAGGACAGGAAAGCCTGGGAAAGAAGGGAGACAAAGTATTAGTTATTGAGAAGAGTGATCTTAAAGCGACCTGAAGATCCCTTGTGTGGGATGGAAGCAATTAGCAAGAAGTTCTTTGCCCCGAGAGCATTTTTATAGGCTTAAATGGCACACTGAGGAGGAGCTGGGATTGGCAGTAGCTGGAGAGGCACCAGTAAGAGGCAGTGGCTCCCAGTTTCTGTCGCCCACTTCTTGAGTGCTGCATTCAGCAGGAGCTGAGAGCCTCACAGATGAAAAATACCACAGATGGATGGCATCTTGCCTCTTGGAGAGGCAGCAAAACCCAGCACTGGCACACCTAGCTGCTAATTTGGAACAGAAAAATACACTCTGGCACAGCATCCGTAAGAGGTTGCCAACCCTTGTCCTCCAGCAGCGATAACACACTTCCCAGAGTGTGAGCAAGAGCAAACAATTAAGCTCACTCTACAGATTCAAGCAAAACTTGAGCCAACGGGTGGGTTTGGATCTGGAGTTCGGGGCTGCAGTTGCCCTGAGTGCACAAAAGGCACTTCCGAAAATACACTTTGGAAACTTTCTCCAGGCTCGCAGCACAGCCCCAGCTGCCTGCTCCTGGCTCTCCCGGCGGGCGCGCTGGGCGAGTGAGGCGCCAGTGAAGGCTCTTGGGAACACACCCGGCTGCTGCCCGAGCCCGGCTGGTCCCTCGGAGCTGTCTGTGCCCTGGGGGGCAGCCGAGCTGGGGGGGCGCAGCAGGCCTGGCTGCTGGGGGCCTGGGTGGCACCACGGCCCCCCGGCTCTGTTCACATCAAATCCATTTTGTTCCTTCAGTGACTACGTGTGTGTTTAAGTGCTCATGACAAAACCGAAGAGGGAAGAATCTTCCTAGCTGACTTCTAGCTGTTGCAGAAGTAACTGGTCAACTTGCAGGATGAAGTTAAGTGTCTTCTCAATAAATGAAGTATTGGTTATGCATTTTTTTTAAGCCCTGGCTTTAAAGCAAGAAAACCGAGCTGAAGATGCCCCTCTGAATTAAACCTGGCTCTGCAGGAAGACTGTGGGGGTTCCTGCAGATCATCCTGCTGGCAGCCGGCACGTGCAGAACATGAGGAGCAGGGAGGCAGCGCCGAGCGCCAGCGTTCAGATGTGCTGCTGGGTCTTTCCTCTCTGACCAGCCCAGTCCTTGGGAGTCTCTTTTGTGTTGATGCCGTGTTTCTAACAAGACCACGTACGGATTAAATGGTGTTTAGACAACGCAGGGCCTGTGTGCAGACCAGGTAGCTGTGCATAAAACTGACAGTTCTGCAAACAAGGAGCCTTTTGTGCCTCGTGCTCCAGCGCACCCATGTCGGCCCCGTGGCTGACATCAGCCCCCCTCGCTCTGTCGTCGCCCTCTGCATTCACCACCCGGGCATCTGAGCCTCCTACCAAATTAAATATTAAACGTTCTAAGGGATATTGTGTTTCTTTTGTTCCTCTGGCAACTGAGATCTCGAGTGCTCTCAATTCTCCCTGACTTCACATTTTGCAGTTTCATGTCTTAATGTTCTTTTAATGCTTAATTTAATACTCTGGAGGTTCTTACCACACACTCATGTCTGTGACACAGAAAATGTGGTGTACAACCTACTAGAGGAGGAGGTAGCTATTTAATGAGCTGACATTTCTCATCAGCATCCAGACCCCAACCTACAAGGAGAAGTGCTGTGGGGAAGAGGTGGCGGGGCTGTGCAGCAGCGGCTGGCTGGACAGGAAGCCCCAGTTATTCTTAGCACCAAGGGTCAAACCAAACCCTGCCACCATCACAGTGGCAGCTCCTTACGGCAGCTGAAGGGAGCACTCGCTCTCAGAGGCCATCTGTAACTACACAAATAATACCTAAAAGTGGTCACTCTCCGTGCTGAAACACCAGTTCTAGGGTACTGGATGGAGGCCACTGTTTCTTTTCGTACACTTCCATCTAGTCTGATCAAATAAGAGCAACTCCGGTTTTAAGTCTGAAATCAGAATGGGAGTTTCTTAACATTTTCACCATCTGAACACAAGCAAGTCTTCATACCACAAAAGCAAAAGCCCCTTAGCTTTGGGAGCAAGGCTTCCCCCACTGTTCCCATTGCATAACATCCTTCAAGAACATATGGGCCAGCAAACAGAAGACGTCCGCTGCATAATTATGGCACTGACAAACCAATTGAACCTCAGCAGCTGCCGCTGGGGAGATTTCATTCATTCCCAGTATTGCCTTTTAAACTTAAGTGGCACTGGAACAAACACATCTTTGATCCAAGTAGGAAATCATTTGGAGCTTTGTGTTTAATAGAGCTGAAGCCCTGGGAAAATGATGTCTTTATTAGCCTGGATGACAATGCGGGTCTCATGGCAGGCACACAGCGGTTTGGTGTGTCAGTCCTCTTACTTTTTCAGATGTATTTGGACATATTTGTTCTTGAATCAATGTGGAAACAAGGACTTTAATTCAGCTGTGCTGCTGAAGCGCCTATAAACGGCATGCATGACATCAAAAAGAAGCATTTGGGAAGGGGAGAGGGAGCACGGTTTTGCCAATTCCAAAGCAGAGCTGCGATGTCTCTACCTTCCTGTCCTCGTGCTACTTCAGGCCATTTTGGGGCCACGTGTTTCTGCCTTATCTCCAGGTGAATTACTGCACTAATCAGGGTGTTGCATCCTCCAACACAGAGGAATATACGTGGCCAGTACTGTGCTGTCCACACACGTCTCCTGGTACGTCTCTGTGTGCGTATAGACGTTTGGATGACAAGACCCCCAAGTGTTGCTGACACTTCTACCAGTACACTCGCTGATATCATTTAACGAAAAATACTTTAAAAACAGCCCTGTGAAGAATCCAGTAAGGACACATTTTGGTGTGCTCCAGGCATGCATATTATAACCTGCAAGATTAGAATAAATCCCGCTCTGAATGGAGCCTGGCGAGGGGGGGGCAGTGGTATGTTGCCAGCTGCATGTTCAGTGAGAGGTTTTTCTCTCCTGATATATATTGGTTGTGGTGATACGCTGTGAGCTAATCAGCACAAGGCCTAATTGTAATTATGCTCCTCTTCCCTAATACAGCAATGTCTGTTTAGACCCAAGTACATACCCAGGAATGTTAGGGGGATATTGTTAAAGGACATCAGCCCTTTGTTATGCATAACAGTAAAGAAGAAAAAGATTGACATCTTATACTGAGGCAAAAGTAAATATACCTCCGAAAACTTTGCAGCAGTAAGCTTACTAAGAAAGCACTATGATCCATAAAATATTCAGTAATGATTCATGGAAGGGAGTCACTAAAAATTCCTAATTCATTCATTTGCGGCAGTTCATTGACTTGGGTTTGGCGGTGTAGCTAAAGGAGCCGTCTGTGTTTGCTTCCTAAAAAGCTGGAATTGCGACTGCACTCTAAAATACCATCTTGCTGTTATTTTTTTTTTAAAAAGTATTCCCCTGGATCCCTCAGAAATTACTTTAATGCTTCGTTTCTTGAAAGGTTGCTTTAGAAATGCAAGTAAGAGTTCCCAACAAAACCACTTTATCTTATTTGCCGGTGGGGGTAAGTGTAAACATTATCAATCTAAATATTGCTCTTAGGTACAAACGGTTGTATCAAGGAGAGGTGGGAGCTGCAGAGAACTTCTCCATTCTCCACATGGCTGTAGCTGTCTCCTTCGGGGCCCCTCTTTGCATTTAAATGACCTGTGCTCAGACGATGAAATGCTGTCTGGAGTCACCTAGCACCTGTGGAATATCCATTTAAAAGGCAGCTGCAAGGGGAGCCAGCCCGAGGACAGCGGGATGAGCCTGGCCTCTCCGTGACCACCACCTCGGCCGACAGGTGAGGGGCGGAGGAGCCTCAGCAATAATGCAGGAGCCCAGGCCCGTCCGGGGGGAGCCACCTCCTGCTCCCCGACGGCCCCTGGCAGCACCAGCTGCGGGTCTGGGAGCGCTCCTGGGACACAGCGAAGCGCTCGTGTGACACGGCAAAGCACTCGTGTGACAGGGCAAAGAGCTCCTGGGACACAGCAGCCCAGAACGCACCTGGGCAGAGCAGCTTTGTGCCCGGGACCCGGCTGTGCCAGCCACGCAGAGCCCCTCTCTGAAAACCTGCTGCTGAGCCCCCGAGACCCCCTGAAGAGTTCATCCGGCAACTGGCACCATCACTAGAGGGTAATAAAATAATTTGTAAGGAAATGAAAGAGCATTCCAGTCCATTCCTGAGCAGATCTGTGGCACGGGAAAGTGACTGAACTGCACTGATGCTTCATTGCAAAAAAGGCCCCTGAATAAAGACAAAAAAGAAACGTCGAAGTGCGGCTACAGAAGAGACCAGGAATGATGTCTATTTTCCTGCCCTAGGAGAGGAGGGGAGATGTACTTGTAAGGACGGTTGTTTGTATAAATAAATGTTCATTCTTGGCAGTGGAATGCAAACTATGCTGAAGGGCTGGAACCAGACCACTTTGTAAAGCTGAGGCCAGAGTAAGGGAGAGATGAAGCGAGGTTGTGGGGAGGAAATTCACATTCATTTTTAGCAACTTGGAGAGTTTCTCAAGCGTGTTTGACATTTTTAATTATGCTGATGTAGAGCCTATTCCAAGGACAAAAGAAGTCAGGACTACAGGATAAACAATTAGGAAACTCCATACCAGCCAGCTAGGGGTGGTGTTGCCTGTGGGTCTGGAGACTTTGCTGAAACACAGAATCATCTTTCATACTTTCTAGACAGATGGAATTTGAATGTCTTGCAAAATCTTCACCTAGGTCAGGAGACTCAGACCATGGTCTTACAAACTTTAACTAAAGGCGTATTTTTTGATAGCCCTCATTAGACAGGAAGGGGATTAATCTGAACTGCTGCTATTTGTCCAGGCTTTCCTGCAGGGTTTCCTGAGCGGGTAGGAAACAATCTTGCTGAGTTTATACCAATTGTCTCAGAATCTGTAACTTTACAATGGAAAATAAAACTGAAATTTCTCACGGAGAAGATCAGCTCTAC